CTGGAAGCTCTGAAAAATCCACGGAAACTCTCCGGAAAACAAGCAAGGTGGGCTCATTACTTTAAACGTTTTAATTTCACTCTCAAATATTTTCCTGGGAGAAAGAACTTCTTAGCAGATGCACTGTCCAGAAAACCCCAATGCAACAGTAAAAAGATTGAGGTTATAAAACCAATGACCCAACCGACCCAACTAGCAGCCAAAGTAATCACCCGGACACAAGGGGGAAAAAAATCATCCCTGACTGAAGACACGTCAATATTTAAGGAGGCACTACTTAAGGACGACTGGCTCCAGGCTAACAAAAACACTTGTTTACTCAAAGATGGACTGGCTTGGGTAGAGAACAAACTTTATGTCCCTGCAAGCCAGAGAATGGACCTCATGAAATGCTACCATGACTCCAAAATAGCAGGACACTTTGGGTTTATAAAACCCTGCACCTCATCAAAAGACAATTTCGGTGGACGTCTCTCAAAAAGGACATTGAAAACTAATGTTGCGAGCTGCCCCACCTGTGCTGCTGCAAAGAGAAGACAAGGAAAATCTCCTGGACTTTTACAAACAGTAGCAGACCCTTCTGCTCCCTGGAAAGAGATCTCTATGGACTTTATAGTGGAGCTTCCCGAAAGTGCTGGAAATACCGTCATTTGGGTTGTATCTGATCTTTTTTCCAAACAGGTTCACTTTATTCCATGCCAAAAGATCCCAACTACCAAGGCATTGGCAAAGATGTTTCCAATACACATCTATCGCCTTCATGGAGCTCCCCAACGGATTATCTCAGATAGGGGTGTTCAGTTCACATCCACATTTTGGCGGGCGTTTTTAAACCTATTAGGCTCCACCCAGGGGTTGTCGTCAGGAATCACCCCCAAACGGACGGATCAATGGAGAGAGTGAACAGCGTATTAGAGCAATATTTAAGATGTTTTATTAGTCACCAACAGGATAATTGGACTGACCTTCTTCCGTTTACAGAGGTAACATACAATAACTCAGTCCATAGTAGCACGGGTTCACCCCATTCCAGGTAGCCACAAGCCAAGAATTCAACCCCATGCCGGAACTACCCACCAAAGATCCTGAAATCCCCTCCCTTAAGGAGTGGATGGATAACTTACAAGCCATGTGGCTAGTGGTAAGATTATCTTTACAGGAAACTAGAGTAGTTTACAAAACTCATGCAGACAAACAACGTTGCGAACCTAAACCTTTCAAGATTGGGGACCGTGTCCAGTATTTCACTGTAGCTTGATCAAACCAGAGATCACTTCAAACCTCAGACCTCCCCCCCTTCCCACATCTCCAACCCCCATCATGGTGCATGGGGAACAACATTTTGAAATTAAAGACATCCTTGATTCATGCACTCACCATGGATCCACACAATATTTAGTAGCTTGGAAACACCTTCCTTCTTCAGAAAATGAGTGGGTAGCCAAACAACACGTAAAAGCACCCACATTACTCCGTAAGTTCCACCAAAAATACCCTGATAAACTATCCTGAATTGCAAATGTAATGCATGATTTTTGTTTTTTTTCCAGGTAGACCTATCTGATTTTTAAGGAGGGCAGGATGTCAGATCCATGTATCTGTTATTTCTTCAGTGGAAGAAGAAAAGGGGTGAGGGGGAGAGAGACTGTTAAAGAAATCCTTTCTTGATGTAACCTGAATATATTTAATCTTATATTGAATTTATATAACCCACACATTATACGGTGGAGGGAGAAAAGCCAGATGGCCAGAACTATCACCTCTGAGAGGCACAACCAGGAGATGAGAAGGTCATAAAAATTCCACAGTGAGATTGTACTTTGGGAATCTCTTGAATAGTTCGTTCTAACAAGAGGGGTGGGGAGGAATTAACATACTGGCTTTTGTTTCACTAAATACACATCGAGATAAGGGGAGAGGTTCTAAACTCCCTTATGTATCCCTGTATGCCTGAGAGACCTCAGATGCTCTTTGAACTCTTACAGGAATTGTCTCATCTCAATAAAGGATTCCTTTTTGATACCTTTTGATATATTTTCAGAAAGTTCTGTAGCCTGACAAGTAGATTGTGGTCCACTTTGTCAAATGTCTTACTGAAATTTAAGTAAACTATGTCCATAGCATTTCCTTGACCTACTAATCTGTAAAAAAGAAACAATGGATATTGCTAGAAACAGACAAAAAGGAAAAAATAAAAAAGGATGGTTTCAGGAAAAAATTTAAAAAGAGAGTTTCAAGAGAGGTTAGAAGTGACAAGAAGTATTACAATGACATTTCTAAAAACCCTGTAGATGGAAATGGACTTGGATAAATTATGAGTTTTCCAAAAGATCAATTCTCAAATGGTCAACTCTGAACAGGATCTGCACCCAACATGGTGTCTTTCAGGACTCCTTGTTTAAGTGGGGTCTTGTCTCTACCCCTCAGTGTGACTGTAGTGCTCCTCAACAAAATAGTTTCTTTTGCTCAGCATAATTTGGGATCTCCAAAAGGCCCCCCTCTTCTATAATTCGATTGTACTTCTAGCAATAACAGCCGTTGAGTCTTTTCTGACTTCAATATTCAACTCTTTTGAGACTTTTGTAACAGCATGCAATAATTCTGTTGGAAATTTTATTGACTGAAGCAATATAAACGTAAACTGTAATAAAAGAAGCTAAGCAGTAACCTAGATATAAAATATTTCAAGAAGTGCTTGAGTGTACAAGACCAATGTAAGATTTCGTTCTTCTCATATTCTTAGCAATGAGATAGAGATGTGACAATTAAAAGGATAATTGAAAGAAGAAATAAGGTCATTTACTTAATTAATATAGTAGGCTCAACTGAAATAGCCATCTTCCTACAAACATGTTTCATCCCTAAGATGCTGATATTATAAAAGATTTTAGCACATCTTCAAATTATGTGCCAAGGAATCATAAAACAGATTGACATACCCTCTGAATCAGTCATGTCTGCTTCTCAAAAAGAGAATCTGCTTTTTCTGCTGCTAAAGCACTTTTAGAAGAAAGGTGCAGATAACAGCCATTTCTCCCTCCTAAATTAAAATTATTATTGTTGTCATTATTGTTGTTATGAGTATGGCAAGTACATGGACTTATTGTAATTCAAATGTTAATGTTCAGTCCACCCAGCCATTCAAGGACAGGTGGTCTATGTTGAAAAAAATCAGACATTGGGCCAGTGCAAGCTCTCGATGGACATCTGAACACAAAGTGTGTTTACAATTGCTTACTGTTGCCTACTTATTTTCACTTTTTCAAAAATATTTTATAATAATTAACAGTCCAAGACTAATCACATAAAAAACATGTAATTCTAAAAGGAAAATATAAAATTATGAGAACATTCTAGAAGATCAGCTATCAATTAATAACACGAGGAAGAAACCAAACAGTGAATAACAACTATAGCTATTGATAAAGAGTTTTGCCACCTTTATAGAGGTTTCTGAAGAATGATCACCCAAGAGATGGGTAATGACGTCTTGGTAACAATGGCAACTAAGAATTGTTAACAATTGGAAATATTAAATTTGATCACCACTGGGTATACAATGAACACTTTAAAAACACTTGTGAGATAGAGTCTATCTTTGTCAAATCTAAACATCATGTTTTGCTTTTATATGAGAGGCTTGTATATCCACTAATTGTTCTAACCCAGTATCAAACCAGTATCTGCCTAGGTGAGTTAGCAGACTTCTTTAGGAACTCACTGCTCACCTCCATAGTATGGAGATAGAACTAGAACAGGTGCCCCAAACTTTCGCTGCTTCACTATACTCTGGTCAGTTCACAACAACTAGTGGGAATCCCATCTTGGCAGTTGAACATAGATACCTCTCACCATTGTCACCTGAACATGTTCATGCTTTTGGGAAACACTAGGAGAGCAGCTTTAGTTGCCAGAGAACTTGCAAGATATGCTTCAGCCCTGAGTGAGACTCTTCTTCTCAACAAAGATCAGCTGGCCGGATTTAAAGATACATTTTTTCTGCAGTCATGGCAGTGATGAGTGTTGTGATGCTGGAGTTGGGTTGGAAGTGGTTGATGGAAGTCATTTTGTTTGGAAACACTGCAGTTACCACTAGCTACCCTGATCAGTGCTTGTGTCTCCCACAATGACTAACCCCAAGAGACAAAAGGTTCTATGAAGAATTAGATGCCCAACTCTCAGTTTGCTTAGCAACTTTAATGCAATCATAGGTGTGATTCTGCAGCCTGACAGGGAGTCATTGGAGATATGGAGTGAAAAAGACTAACAGCAGTCCTACTCCTAGCTAGAACTGTTCAGCACACAACCTCATCAACAGTAACAATTTTCTGTTTGCCTACCTTAATAAGACCTCTTGGATGCACCTCTGCTCTAAGCTTGGTATTTTATTGTTTATGTCATTGTCAGGAGAAAAGTAAGGCAGGATGTCAGAATAATGAAGGGCATATGTGCGGTGCTGACTGTTGGACAGGTTGCAGGCTAACTGTCTCTAAAATGAAGCTCCACATCAGACTCAAAAGATGACCAAAAGGAAGCAAGACTATGAAAAGAATTAATCTAGTTAGATTGAAGAACCCCAGCGTGGCTTCAGCACTGGCTGAAGACTTAGTAACTAAGCTGGTTGACTTACATCTTGCTAGCTGTGCAAGTCTAGCTCTATCAGTGCAACAATTCCAGTGTCCATCTATTTGCCCAACATGTGGCAGGACATTCCATGCCCAAATTGGGCTGACCAGTCATCTTTGGACACATCACACTTAGTTTTAATGTAACTAATGGTGTTGAGGTCCTCATCTATGATGCTGGACAAACAACGCTAAATCTGCATGTAATTTTCTAAACCTTTATATTAAAGATTTATGATAAATCTATAAAATGTATTGATTCAAGATTTAATAGTGGTAGCAATACTGGGATGGTCAGCATTTGTGTCACTGAAGACTGTGGGTAAAAGAACTGTGCACCAAGAAAAAATACGGTAGAAATAAATATGATCTCACCTGAGGCTGCTGGAGTATTGGTAGGAGTTGAAACAGCAGCTTGATTTCGAGCATGAGCAGGTATGAGGATTGAAGCCAGAGATGGATTACTTGACAATTCTAGAAGGAAGTTGAAGAAAGATCATGTATAACAAAGCACAATTCAATCATCTCATTTAGCAGACTTCCTGATGCATCCAGGAATGTAAGGAAGCTCTATGAAGAGTTCTATGATAACTATTACTGCCATGGAAGAATAGACGAAAAAGATTAAATCCCACCAGTGCTGCCAAGCATACTGCTGCATATGGGAAGGACAGAAGAATGCCAATATTGTTTCTAACACTTAAAAAGTACTTCACCTTTTTCTATCAAAACTAGATTATGTGCCACATTCTTTAAAAAAAAAAAACCCTAAAACAGTCCATCATAAGCAAGAGACTAAAAATGTCACGAGAGCCAATTTGGTATAGTGGTTAAGGCATCGGGCTAGAAACTGGGAGACTTTGAGTTTTAGTTCACCATAGGCCCAAAGCCAACTAGGTGACGGTGGGCCAGCAATTTCAACCCTAGAAAAGAGGTAATTGCAAACCACTTCTGAAAAAATCTTGCCAAGAAAACTGTAGCAATTTATCCAGGCAGTTTCCAAGATTCAGAGATAGTTGAATTCAAGGGGAGAAAAAAAATGTCATAGGTAGAAATATTATTTAAAATAGTAAGAAAAAATGATCGGCAACAACATAAAAGTAAAGAAGTTCAAATTATATTGGTTTACCCTTGCGTAGTTATTGTTACAAATATGTTAGTGAAGTTATGAAAAAGAGCAGTTAGCAGTTCCTGATGACTAGATGGATAGGTTCACATTGTCTCTTGGTAACAATACAAAAGTGTTTTGCCATTATCTTCTTCTTACATATCTTTTTTATTTGCTTTCAGCCCTGGCATTGGCTCATAGATTCCCAGTTTTAATCCTTCTTAAACTTTTTTAAGATCAGTCAAGATCGGCTATGTGGCTCTGACATAACAGTGACAAGATTAATTTTCTCTATCCTGCATTACTGCATTTACACAATTCCCAAGGAGTTTCCAGAAATGGTTTGCCACTGCCTTATTCCAGGATGGGTTGGTGTTTTTTTCTTCCAGTTTTACTAATCTAGCCAGCTAGATGGCGTTTCAAGATGATTTGCCATCTACAGTGGGTATAAAAAGTCTACATACCTCTGTTAAAATGCCAGGTTTTGAGAGGTAAAAAAAAATCAGACCAAGACAAATAATTTCAGACTTTTTTTCCACCTTTAATATAGCATATAAACTGTACAATTAAATTGAAAAGGAGTGAAGAATTACATTCACTTTTTGTACAAATAACCAAACAGAACTGCATAATAATAGTAAAGTCCTACACATACCTGATCAGAGGCTTCTTGGCCTTTTGGTTAAGATCAAATGTATGTTTATAGGCAACATTCCCAGCTATAAAGGATTTTTTAAAATGATCTTCCTACATTACTATATCAAAACATTTCTAATTAAAAGTACTGGTTTTAGAAAAAGAAATATAATTTTTACTACTAAAAGTGGGCAGGAAAAGTAATCTGAAAAGGGCTGGCTTCCCTTATAGTACTGAGAAGACACCATTTTAAAAAAATGTTTCCTATGACAGAAACAAAGGAACTATATAGTTGGTTATTTTGTCTCTTCGACAAGTTTGGACTACAGACATGATCCCCCAAAATATGAAACTAAATAATGATTCTATTTAACAATATTTAGCACTATTTGAAAATATATTTAATCCCATTGTGTGTGTATATGCTTCCTATTTTATATTTCAAAAATAATCTTCATTAAAAATTTAACTATTCGTTGCTCTAACATACTTATTCATGTAATTATTGCACTGTGGACTATAACCTCATCTACATTCATTTATTAATAGTTCATTTATTAATAATCAACTAGGAAATGTGATAGAGATCACTTAGATTATGGATTCAATTACGTTTTACCTCATTCGTCTCTATCAATAATAAACTGGTTTTACACACACACACATACACACACACAAAATTTGCAAATGTTTCCTTCTATTCTAACTCTCTAGTCTATGCTATGGAAAGAGTATTTTCTTTTTAAGTGCCCAACACTTTATCCATCATTTCATCCTAACTTCACTTGATAGGATGCCCTATTCTGGCATAATGTTTCAAAATTACCTTGAGTAGTGAAATTAAAGAGTGCAGGTTTCTCTCGACCACTTGGTAATTTGATGTTTGGGTCCCGTAATTCATCAAAGAAAGAATGTGCACATGCTTCCAGTGGAGTCAGGCGGGCAGTTGGGGTATATTCCAACAGACGGCTACATAGAGCTATTGCTTCTGGTGGAGTGCGGGGTCGGAAGACCTATGGGGAAAAAAAGAGGAAGTTTGACCATTTTGTTTTACTCTTATTAACAGACTGTGAGCCTGAACAATTAAGCTGATGCAGGTATTATTTTGTTTTTGGTGTTGTTGTTTTTAAAGTTAACATCAGATTTTTACCAACTGGTTAAGGCAAAAATGCTTATTGGCAAGGAGCTAAATTGAATAAAGTTGAATTTACCAAATCCCTGAGGATATGATCGACATCCAGCACCAAGCTGAGGAAATTTAGGAACAAAGGAAATAATACCTTTAAAAACATAAATAATGCGGCTAGCTTATGCAGATGGGCTAGAAAAAAGGGAAAAAGCAAGTGATGGGATATTTTGAGGACTGAGTGTTATATAATCCCATTTAAAACCTAAATACAAAACATAGATTTGGATTTATCAAACTGGTTTATGCTAATTTGTTAATAGTTTTAGTGGCTCTTTTAAATTACTTGACAAGTAATTAATTAAAATGCTTCATATTCTCAACATGCAATTATCACTTTTGCACTGCATATTTTCTTAGCATTTTCTTGCCTTAAATGTTAAACTTCCTGACAGTGAAAACAATTAATCAGTGGAATGGGTTGACTCCATAGATTGTGCTCTAGTCCTAAACTGCTTTTTCACTTATGTGGAATGTGGCCTTTAGTCTTGGGAATATAAACAGTGGTTAAATCCTTTGTGTATTGTATGATAATCTGAATTCACCGTTCCACAAAATGAAAGCAATAGTACATAGACCACATGCAAAATCAAAGACAGATCTGCATAAATATATTTTTAAAAGACACATTAAATACATGGAAAGTGTTTCAAAGATATTCTAGTCTCTAACTTAGGCAGGGAGAGACTGAGCCTAATTTTATATGCTACTATAAAAACAATTAGTTTTTACAAAGCAATCAAAATGTTCAAGGGAGAGTCCTAAACATCAGGCTAAAACAGAACAGAATAGAATTTAGAGTAAATGAAAACCAAAAGAACCAAAATGCTAATCAATTTTTAACCACTATATAAAAATCCCAAACTAATGCTGAAGCAAGTGTGCATTTTTTGACAAGGCAACATTGATGTAACCAAGTGATGGGATGATGAGAGGAGAGTACAACTCTTCCTACTCCAATTCATCACTGGAAATTCCTCTCTCACTCACTCATATATTTAAACACCCAACCTCATGTAGTTTCTTTCTTCTAATTGCACTGAAATCCAGTTTTTGATTTGTAGGAGAAAACTGTATGAAAGGGAAAGGGCTCCCAATCCATACACTAGGCAATTTCCCTCTGTAAATGGACCTGAAAAAGCAGGATTTGAAATCCTGTGAATATTGTTTCATCTCACTTAGTTAGCCTTGCCTTACCTTATAACTTAAGCCAGGAGAGTGATGAGGCACTCTCAGCTGTTCTCCTAATTCTTTCATTCCAAGAGCGGCAATTGCTTTATAGACCTGATAATTTTCAGATGAAAATAATATGAGGGGAACTATTGCAATAGCAGCTTCTGAATAGAAAACACAATACAGTAGTAATTGTGCTTGGGCACACATTTTTAAAAGTGAATGGATAAGAGATTGAAAAATAGTCTTACACATTTGGTAACATACATGATGAGATGAACAGTGGGGGTAGAATTTAAGAGCAAAGAAATCAATGCATTGGTCCAAACTTTTCCTTTAGATATCCAATTTGGAAACTAATTTGGATTTTTATTCTAAAGTGATTCATTAGAAGTGCACAGTTTTATTATTCTGAGATAATTTTGAGAGTTATGTATTAAAATGACATGGGGCATTAATGTCGATTATTATTTTAATAGCAATAGCAACAGAACTTAAACTTATGTACCACTCCATAGAGCTTTAGAGCATTCTCTGGGTGGTTTACAATGTCAGCATACTGCCCCCAACAATTTAAGTCTTTGTTTTACTGACCCTGGAAAGATGGAAAACTGACTCAATCTTAAATCACACCAGGACTGAATTTGAGATTGTGGGCAGAGTTAGCCTGCAATACTGCATTCTAACCACTGCACCATCAAAGCCCCTGGTCATTTAAAAAAATCTGCTTTCTGCTTTACACTCTATTTCCTTGTTTCAACTCTTTCTTGTGACTGTTATGAGCACATACAAATACTACAGAACAAGGAAATTTAAAGTATTTTTTCACTACAAGCCCTGGCTGAAATGTATGATCTCTCTTTGAAACATAGAAGAATATGTGGATTTGGGAATTTTCTACTGAGGATGCAATCGTTGCCTTTTTAAATTTAATCAAAAAGTGAAATCTGTATGTTTCAAATTTATGTTGGGAGTTTGTGTAGTAAGACTGATCTTTTTTTTCCTCAAGGGAAAACAAACCTCTTAACCAGATAATTATTCTGAATGACATTTCAGTACGTGATTACTAGATTTTGTTCAATCTCTAAAGGTGGTACGAAACGAAAGGTGATGGATGTGATGGAAGCAAGGATGCTTTGTATGAGGACAGAAATGAATGGAAGACTATGGAAAATTAGTTTTAGCTACATTCCCTTTTCTTACCTTATGCCATATCTCTTTTGGCATATTTTCATGCCTTTTTTATGATCTATAAAATGTTCACCCATAATTTTGAACACATTACCCACATAGTATCTTTGTCCCAATATGAAATTCCAAGTGAAATTCAATCTACTGATTACAAAGGGATATTTGTAAAGAAACATATTTAATCTAATATCCGCCAGATCTTTTAGAATATGTCTTATCATCTCTAATTATGACAATTTTTAACTTGCTTTTTCTTTATTTTGAGGGAAACTATTAATATAGCATTCACTAATAAGCTAGCAGAAATTGTTCTCATATATCTCCACATATTCTATAATTAAAATTGAAGCAGCCAATATAATTGCAAGCATAATCAGGGGTCTATTTTTCTTTGGAAACCTGAAATGAGTCATGAGATGTTTGCATAAATGTTGAAAAATGTAAATGTTACTTCTATTCCCAAACATCTATGTTACAATAGGAAGAGAATATTAGCTGGACTGCTCCTTGGGGTCTAATATCTTGGTGTAAATTCTAATTTTGTTTCTATTTTCCCAGCAACTAACCTGATGATATGGAAAAAAAATTATATACATACCCGTACTCCTGAGGTGAAATGTCCTGTTCCTGACGAGTCCTAAGGATGATAATGCAGTGAAATAATCCAAACAGGGGGAGTCAATCCAAAAGAATAGTCCAGCAAGGAAAAATATATCCAATATTATAAGAAATCCAAAGTGATGGGGAAATATTAAATGTTTAATACAATTAGAAATTTTAAACACCAGCAAGTCCAAACTCAAAAAATTAATAATAATTTTGCAAAGCTGAGGCATAATATAGAAACATTTTATTTTTAATGCATGTTCCAATGCCAGCAATTTTACTAAAAAGTAACAAAAATATGAAATCAAATGTCCGTACAAAAGTAAAATTATATTGAATTTTCAAAACTAAACTATAGATCTCCTTCCTATCTTGGAGAGAGATAGACACAGGAAGGAGCATGAGACATGCAATCATGCACAGACTCATTTTTTCCTGCTTATTTATCCTAAAAGCACAACTGAAAAGTGTTCTGATGTAACACTTCTAAAAGAGAATCATTAAGTTTCTCATTTCTAAGATGACCGCTTTAGATGTCTATAAGCTACACCAGGCCACCGCGGATTATTCTTCATCTTGGATTGACTTCCCCGCCAATGGATTTTTTAGCATTTATATTTTTAGCTGATATTTCATTAGGATGCTTCAGGAACTGGACATGACACTTCAGGAGTGATGGTAGGATCTAACTTACTTTCCCCCTTTATTGTGGTTTCCTTCCTTATGCCCTCAGTCATTTATAAGTGCAGGGGATTTATGTTTTTCTTTTTAAGAGCAACTGATGATGACAGAAAGACACTGCATTCTTTATCTCTTCTCACTTCAATCTGTTCTGATGCTTTATTCACCCACTAAGAACTACTTAACAACATACAAACAAACAACATTAAAAGCAAGGGACTGTCACAGTTACAGGTCAAGCAGTCAATAATACAGTTTGCCAACACTTAAGCACAATGGGGCTACCAAAACAAGGGATGTTTTCAGCATTCTATTGTGCTTAGGTGTCAAAGGACATCTTGTAAAGTTCACTGTTAGCTGTGAACTGCCCTCACTATTATGTTTTGAAGAGAATAATTACTGTTTTTCATGTAGTTTTCAGTGAGGGAATTGCTTGCATAAATAATCCGCGGATTAGTTTTTAGTCTGCGGACTAAAACTTAGCACTTGGGTCTAAAAGCCGGCCCGTCGCAATGAAATCTATTGAAATCTGAAGCAATCTTGACCAAGGAAAGGAGAAGCTGACAACACAAAGAATAATGCAAGTGGGCAGACTAACCTTTAGTATGCAGACTAAATACGGCCAAGTAAATGCACAGGAAAGCCACAAGCAGAAAACTAAAATTAAAGTGACACATGTGAATGCTGACTAGAACTATATGATTTCAATTATATATTGCAAATTATATTTTACTATAACCATGGATGGTATTTTAATTAATATGCTCAGTTTACTTATTAATATAGTATATTAAATGACATAAAATGCCATACTGGGTGGGGGGGGGGGGAAACCTATCATGAATATAGCCATGTAATATATGTCTGTTGAAAATTCCAACTTTCTCCAGGATAAGCCATTTCATTTTCTTCTGGAGCCACACAGGAATTACCATTTTGTAGCCCTAAAACATGCACTGCACTGTTATGGAGAGGAGAGTTCCATCCTCATTTATGCTCTGTTTCTGCCTAGTTATCTCATTCCCACATTGATATTTAGATATATTTAGTACATTAAACCTACTACTGTTTTAGGATTTTTTTTTATAATCAATTTATTTCAAAAAATCTGACATAATAATTGTCCATTAAAATTTAGGAATTATATTCATGATTTTATTTGGCCATGATTTTCACTGTGTAATATCTTGGAGGCAAAATATTAGTGAGCATCTATAAGATTTTTTAAAGTGGTACATTTTCCAAGTTTAATATAAATTTCTAAAACTTTGTCCCACATGCCACATGCTCTACCACCTGCAGTTAAGGATACAGCACACTGGAGAACAAGTATCATAGAATTTTACTTGGCTGTAATAGAAATATTGTATTCAGCAATAACTCTGTGTAGTTGTTTTTTTAAGTGAAACTGGAACTGCTCGTTAAAGACATGGAACAGCCACTCAAAAGTTGTCCTCTGAAACTGCTGGAAAATCCTAGCTGCTGTTCTATGCTGCAGGAGTAGTGATATGTAGTTAACTGAGAATATGAATGAAGCTACAATATGATGCTAAGAATTTTGACAGATTTGGCCTATTGAAGTGCAATATGAAAGAAAACAGCAGCTTAACAGCAGTTAAGACATAGTAGTCTTAACATAGAAGAGAAAAAGGAATGAATCAAAAGTCAAGGAATAAAGCACAATGTACATACATTCTGCATGAACCCAGTCCTACCCAAGTGTTCTGATCATGGAACTATACTGCATTCAGCAAGTGGTTGAGAATTCTTTCATTTATAAAAAATGAAATTTTCAAACCATGAGTTCAAAAAGTGCCAAAACAAGATTAGCCAAAGGACTTCCTTTTCTGTTAAAAAAAGTTTTATTTGGGGGTGAGGAGAGTCAATAAAAGTGATTTTTTTAACAAGGACATGTGGAAAATGTACTAGTGATACTACACATTTATAAAAAGAAGCCAAAATTAGAATTTTAAAGATTTTTTTCCTTGAAACAATTGTGCAACTATTGAATATTTATAAAAAAAACATATATACTTGCTTTTCAGGGAATAGCTTCATAAAGTTATTGGCAATCCAATCCTACATTTATTTTACAATGTCTTTATCTTGCCATTATTATGTGACATCATTTACTTTATTAGTGTCAACATATATTTTAAGTCTTTTTAGGCAATCATATCTCAGATTCTATAGTTTTTTATTTAAGCTGCTGTATATTTAATGTGCACTGCATATAATGAACACAGTACTGAATTTTAAATCAATGAATTAAAATAACTGAAAATCAGTTATTACAAACTCTTGAATTGGCTACTTGTTGATATAAATACACTTGCAAACTCTTCAAAACTAATGTGACTCATTTATTTGATTTTTTTTCTTAGGTTTTTTTAGTATGTTTTGTTCAGTTTGCTCTAACGTAACTGTTCACTATATACATCAGAACAGAACATTAATTCTTCCCATTAAAAGCTGGAACTCAAATCTCCAATAAAAAAGGAATACATTATTAATCTATTGTATGCTGTATATTTTTTCTTAGCCATAACAAGCAAAGAAGAAAACTGTTGTGAATCAAGCTAAAACTCTGGTAAAGCACAAAACATATTAAAAACTCACTTCACTAGATCAAGAAACTAAAATACATAAGAATAAAATCTTACCACTAATTGCTTTCCAATGAGAAAACAACTGTCAACAAACCCATGGGTGGTAGTGAGAAGAAAATAAATAAAATGATACAAGTCCCATTTGTGGATTGTTGATCAAAGCTTTTGAACACTATCCAAGTAGCATTAATTTTACTGCTCTATTAACTATCCTTATGAAATGGAAGGTCTTCACTTCTATCTTTAGTCTCCAATCAGATGCCAATGGAATAGAGCCAAGAATAGTGACACAAGAACAGTGCAAAATAGCATAGTTTTGACTGCTGAAAGCAGCTGCATGAAAAATTATGTTTTATTCCTGCTTAGCAAAATAAATCGCTTTATTCTGAAAAAAATGTCTCTTGTCCTCTGGCAAATCGGAGAGGAAAGGTTATATTTCTGAGATAGATAGATATATATCAGAGAGGAAAGGTTATATTTCTGATATATATATATATATGCATGCAAAGGTTATATTTCTGAGATAGATAGATATATATCAGAGAGGAAAGGTTATATTTCTGATATATATATATATATGCATGCAAATACATAAACCAAAAATTGTAATTTTCAGTCAGGCTTCAATGTTTGTCATGCACAAGGAATTGTTTGCTGTCTTCATGGCCAAAACCACAGAAATGATCTCAGTCTGGTATTTGCAAACCTTTTCAAGTTGCAGAACCTATTCTTTTTTTTTTTAAGTGAAATTCCTGTTTCCTGCCTCTCAGAGTGATGAATCATCATGAGCACAACTACCTTACCTGGAGAGAACGAGCATCTGAATATCAGCTGCTAAACATTGCATTTTCCAATGCACCTTGAAAAAATGTATTTATTTTTTTAAATAGTCATTACTATCTCATTGCACCCTATAAAATTTGTTCAGTTAATTAATTCAATTTAGGCACTGCCTGACTTCAACTGACTGTACACTGTTCACAATAAATTTACATGTATACAGTTAGGTAAAGCAGACCTGCTATGCTTAGAGTTGATATGTGATAATCATTTTAGATTTCACATTATATTCCATGATGTAACTCCTACAGGTGTTAAAGTCATATAACCTTTTTGAAATGTGAATTAACTTGACCAACCCATGAACAAGCTAGCTAATTTGGGACATATTCATAAATATTGTCAGAGAACAAATAAAATCAAATAAAAGTTCTAAAAAATCATCCTGAAGAACCTTTTTCTCTGAATCTTCAGCTTGTTAGGTATTAGTTAGCATGGCAAGAACACATCCTCCAATTGGTAAAGTATATATATGCTACTATAAAACATAAAAAAAGGACAGAACATGTTTGATAAATTATTTTTTTAAGTTTGCAAGTATATTTGTATTAGGCAAAGCACCTTCAAGAACTCATAACTGTTATCCATGTAGTATTGCTTATTTTGGCTAAAACTCCCTGCTATTATTTATTATTTATAAAATTTATATTATTAATATAAATATTAATACAATACACAAATACATGTATCACATAATTTTAACAATTTAATATACTATTGTTTATATTAATAATCAATAATAATATTAATAATTAATAATCCTTACAAATGTTTGAATTTAAAATCAAATTTCTCTACGGCCAAGCTCAATTTGTTTCTGTTGTTCCTGGGAAAATATAACAGTGACAAATAGACTAGTAACCACTGCAAAAAGGAGCTGATAAAGTATTAAACGGTACAACTGGACCTCTTAGGACTAAAGTAATTTTATTTTGTTAATATTAGATATAATTTTATAAATGTATATATAATTTTAAATTTGTATATGTAATTATTTATACATATAAATATATACTTTATATATTCTAACTTTAGATTTTTTAAAATTGAATTTCTTCCATCTTCCCAAATCATAGAAAGTTATCGTGTTACAATAAGTCTCTCTGTGTTACAGGACCTGTCCTTCCTTGTTAACATTTCTATACCAAAAAGTCATCTTCATTACAACCTTCAAGATTCAGTTCACCAGGCACTCCAATACAGTCCTTAATTTAACTTACCCAATCATTTCCCAAACATACCAACATTTTTGCATTATGACCATATTAAAAAGCTCTTATAATTCTTAAGTTTAAAAAAATTCATATTGGTCTGAAAATAAACAAGAATATACTTTTTCTTCCTTCCTTCCATTACCAGGAATGGATCAAAAGCAATGAAGACATTCCACTCACATGTCTGTTATCTTAGAACAATGCTGGGGGCAATTTCCCTCAATATGGGCTCATATTTAACTTTTTTTCTTTGGCTCCAAAGGTTGCAGGAGACGTGTTAGTGACATGGCAAACTCTATGTACCATGAATTAACTTTAAGCCTTTTAAAAATACTTTCGAGGGGAAGGAGCTCTTCAAATAAATACATATATTAAACATACCAGAGTATTAAGCACATTTAAGTGTGAGCATTTTTATAATGGAGGCAATCTACCAAAAGTTTGCCATTTTGGCATTGTTCAAAAAGTTTTATACAAGCCTACATATTCATTCTCATGCTACTTACTAAAGTTTATGATGTGACTTTTCTTTGTTTAGAGTGTATGCAAGAATACATCAAATAAGATAATCTTACATGAGGAGCCTTAGAGAAGAGTCTTAGAAAAGAACCACCAGTCTTTGAAAGGAAATCTGGGGTACAGAAGGAAAGACATGATCTAGCCAATAGCATGGAAAATTACAAAAGAAACAACTCTTTCTGTATGATTTAAAATTATAATTGAGAAAGCAAAGAGTTAGTGAAATCAAGAAAATGTCTTGATTTCCAAAACTGGACTAATTTCTAAAGCTTGCATAGAAGCTAGTCCGAAGAGCATAAAATAATGAATCATTTCATCATTTATAAGCCAAGAAACAAATTTGAGTATCATGTCTGATTCAGAATGCTGTCTCACAGAAAAGAAGATTCCATATGCAACATTCCATCTTCTGCCAGCACATTTCAGTATACTATAGCTTTATATTTTTCTTAAGATTAGTCATTTACTGTAAACTGTGTACACAATTATTAGGCAAGTATTTTGACCATATCATCCTTTGTGTGCATATTTTCCAAGCTGTATAAATTTAAATGCTTAGTGGATATAAGCATAAGTTAATAAGTTGTTTATTATTCTCATTTTAACAGATGCAAATAAACAAGTGAGATGGGCAAATTTTTGTTTTTAATTTAGCTGCTCTAATTCTGCACATTAACAGTTGCCCAATAATTGTGCACACATAGATATTCTCCTAAGAAAGCCAAAAGTTCACTTTTACTTTCTTAAATATTCAGGTTTGAGGTTTATTAACATTTTTGATTGACCGAGAGCACTGTAGTTATACAATAATAAAATTAATTCTCCAAAATACAATTTGCCTAATAACTGTGCACACAGTGTATGTATGCGTTAAGAACATTCATTTCTTTTCCTTTCTTTTGTAATCACTAAAAATCAACTAAAAAGTGCATGAATGTGTTTTAGTTCAGACTGGCTGCAATGTCGTGCCTTAGGCTTCTGATTTCTCAAAATAATCTAATGGTTTTATCAAAAAGATTTATCATTTTAAGATCTCAGGTGCAAACAGACAATGAGGTAATTAGTATCATCATCAAGATCTAGTCTAATATAAAACAAGTAATAAAATTTAAACTTCATTATTCCTAAAAGTCAGTAAGAGAGAGACTCAAACTGAAATATGTTAAGATTACTGACAAGATCTTTTTGGGGTTCAGAAATATTGCTTCCAAATGATTAGGTCAACCAAGTAAGCTCTTCTATTAATGTTAATGGAAAAAAGTTCAGAGAAGAGCAACTAAAATGATCAAAGGCCTGGAGGTTAAACCATATGAAGAACGGCTGCAAGTTTGAATTAAGGAGAAACTTCTTAATAGTGAAGACAATTAACCAGTGGAACAGCCTACCTCTAGAAATCATACACGCTCCATCACTGGAGGTTTTTAAGAAGAGACTGGACAATGTCCTATGGCACACATGCCGGAAGTGACACACAGAGCCATCCCTGCCCGTAAACGAGTCATTGCCCCAGCTCAGTTCCACTGTGTATGCGCGTGCACCTCCTGCCAGCCAATTGTTAGGTATCTGCTGTGCATGCATGGGTGTGGCACATGTGGGAGGGTTGTGTACGCATGCACAGGGGGCGGGAGCATGAGGGGGTCATGTGTGCATCCGCAGGGGGCAGGGGAAGCATGGGGGGTCCCACCATATACACGGGGGGCAGGGGGAGCGCATGCGCAGGGGCACACGTGTGCACTGCATTATGGGTGCAAGCAAGCATGTGCGCACACGCACTTTCGGCATGCAACAACAAAAAGGTTAGCCATCACTGGTATAGGTTCTCCTGCTTCAGCAGGGGACCGGACTAGAAGACCTCCAAGATCCCTTCCAGCTCTGCTGTTCTGTTCTATTCTATTCTTTGTTCCTTTCAAAAGATTACACAGAACTTGACTGAGGTTCAGCAACACAACTGTCCACCTAGTTGATTGTTCTCATATCATCCTATAGCTTCAACCATCTTTACACTATATCCCTTGCCAGCAAGTAAACTTTGTTACAATTGTAAGGTGTCCTCAAACTGCAAATATGAGTCTACAATCAGAATAAAAGCTACTGTGAAACTGCAAACTTCAATCTATGAGGAAGAATCTCCTGTGAAAGGGAAGGCCTGGCCCACTTTTTCAAAAAGAGAGAAATAAACTTCAAAAAGATTAGTTTCTTGTTCTTGTAAAAAAGGACAATCTGATTTAACTGTTATATGGAAGAAAGAGAACTCTGTATTATGCTTTTGACTGGAGATAAAACTGGTAAGTTGCATGGACGTGAATAGTTGGTTTTTTTTATTGCTCAACTAGATTTTTGTAAACCTTTACACCATACTTTTACTCTAAAATACATATTTAGCCTCTAAGGAATATAGGGAGTGTAGCTAAAATCTTCAACGTTTTCATTTTTTAGGAAGAGTTTGGGCTAAAAATATGGGCTTAAAATTGTACCTTTTTATTTTTGCAAAATCTCAGTAAAAACATCAAATAGCACTGAAGTGGATTTTCAAAAAACAAGATAAGAGTGTAGCCACAGCCTGTGACTGTCCATCTCCATTCCATTCCATTTTGATTGCAGATGAGAAGAAAAATCTGTATATTTCAGTCTTATCAACGAAAGTATTATTCTGAATATAGATTAGCAATTTATGGAACTATTACATAATATAATGTGACAGTTTTGTTTATTGCTTGTGAAAATAAATATACAGACCTCAGTGTTGAATATGCCCCGTCACACATACACACACAACCATTTCAGACTCACCTTAGTCCATGGATGTGCTTTAATCTGAGGAAATTTAAATTCTGTATAATTTGGATTCATTTCTCTAATTTGTTCTCTTGTAGGAGTTCCAAGGACCTGGAAAATAAAAAGGATGAACTATTAAACATTTCTTCAAGAAAGGGATCATTACCCTTAACACACAGTAAATTCACTGCATAAAAAATACCAAAAAATACAATCCAGTATGGTATGTATTTTAGTTTCCTTGAGCCTATGTGCAGTATCAGAACTTTTTGGTGCAAAACAAAAGGCAAAAACTGGTTTTCAAAGTAAACCAAGGCAACTAACCAAACAAACAAACAAAATTTACAGGAATCTTAAGTCACAGCCATGTTCAGACTTGTACAGTACTGATGAACTTTTAAATTGTCTTTTATGAATTCACAGACTTGGATTTTGACTACACTGAACCTATTCAAAAACTTTTATTGCTTCCGGATTTCCTGACAGAAATCCTTACATTAACCATATTACATATGATAAAAAAGGCAGGTAAAATGTCCATTCCCTAGTGGAATGTGGTAGAAAGGAAATATCTGGATGAAAGGCACTTTATCCCAATAAAGGTTAAGGAGCTGTTGATCCTAATGCAATTCATATAACTCTCCCTCTTGGCAGGCTATTGAAAGTCTGGTATTGCAAAGATGAATGTGAGCATTAGCCACCAGTCTGAAAAGCTTTGAAAATCAAATAGGATCACACAAAAAATAAGCTGGGACAAGTAACAATGTAGGTGACTAAAATGGACGAAATATTTTATAAAATGTGAATTAGAAAAACAGAGAGATAGCCTCAAAGTGCATCTTTATGAAAGTTACAATGCCAAAACATCATGAACCTGAAACTCAAGAGGCCAAAATGCTTGTTTTTTTAGTCTTGAAAGGACTGGATTTAGCTGAGTATTTAGCTTAAATACTAAATTTAGCAGAATAAAAGTTTTAGAGGATTTCGGACAGGGTATAGGAACCCCATCTACCTTACTCCTAAGGAAAAATAGGATTGAATCCTCCAAAGATCTAGGCATTATGTCTGTCTCTGATTGAGGAATATTAACTCAGAATGTTTCAATAGGTGAGGATAATCATGTAAGCCAATTATAATACTGTAGCAACCCTTGGCTACTATGGCGACCATTAGATAAGAAAGAGGCATATTTGCAAAGACTATCTTCAGCAGAGGGGGATTAGTAGAAGACCATGCAGAAACCAAGACAATGTTGTCTGGAACCTTGGAATATATTCTGCCTTTGCATACAAAAACAGAGTTATTTTTTCCCAAAATGCAAACAATCTTGGGCTGCTCCAGACATATTTATTGATTGTCACAGTGGAACACTGTCCCACTGTTCATGGGAACTGCCAGAATAAAAACTGAATGTAAACACCAATGAATTGGGGGGGAGGGTTTAAATGAAAACACCAATGCTATATTTGCACAGTAAAAGTGGAGTGCATTTTGTGTTTATATACCAATTAACCATAGCATTGCCTAATTTATTCCACAGTTTGACTTTGGAGAATGTCCTTGAATGCTTCAATCAAATTTTCAGTTTGTTGATCTATGGTGGATTTATTATAGAACAAATACTTTGGATGTGAAGGAATGAAGTATATTTTAATATAATATGAAACATCTTTTTTCTTGCAAGATCATGGGGAAGGGAAACCAAAACAGTTGGGAGGCATACTGTGATAATTCTCTACAGATAAAATATATCAGCATATACTTGCTGAATACACAATCAGGATTAAAAACATAGTTAAAAGCAGCAATATTCCTATGAGGTTGGAATTATAACTAATAAAATTAGTAATAATAGAGAACTATTTTGACAAATGAGGTTATTATAACAAGTCAGCCCCTAGTTTGAAGAAACATCAAGTTTTCATCAACTTCCTATAGGCCAGAAGGGAAAGGGCAGATTACACTTTGGATAAATGCCATCAGAAATGGCATCGAGAGGGGAGAGGAAAACACTGAAAAGTACACTTATTTAGCCCCTAAAAATGCCAATCGTTAAGTGAGAAGATACAAAGAAGCCTGACCCTAATCCTGCTAGAACCTATAGGGAAGGACAGGGAATAAGATGGTCTCAGATACCAGGCTCTGAACATGAAGGGCTTGAAAGATAACAAGCATTATTATCTTTAATAATTATAATTATTAATATTAATAAATAAGAATTTATTTATAAAATTTATATCTTATAATATACCCATTTCACTATCCAGAGTGACTCAGGGTTACTTACAATAGCATAAAAGCATAAATATAAGCATTATAATTAACAATTAAATAAAAGGTTAAAAGCAAGAGCACAGACGGGATGGGCTTAGATGTTTGTCTCTCACTCAATCAACCACCTCCAGCATAGCCACGCCCAATCAGTACCCCAAGCCAATGACAGTATCAGGTTTTAAGGTCCTTCCAGAATGGTAGAGGCAGATTTCTTCTCTGGAGGCAAGATGTTCCAGAGGGTGTGGGCCACAGCAGAGAAAGTAATTCTTCTTGGCTCCACTAGCTGAAATTCCTGATCCAATTAAATCTGAAGTTCTTCTACTTAACTGAAGTTCTTCAATTAAGTTCTTCTACTGTTGAGAGTGGGGTGGGCCTAACCAAGATTTTCTTTTGGACCCAAAAGCAAACGGGCAACCAATCCAGCTGTTGTAAAAGCAGTGTTACATGCACCACCCTAGGAGCCTCCAAAACTGCCCGCATTGCTGTACTCTGTTCCAGTTGTAGTTTCTCAATATTTTTCAAGAATAGCCCCATGTAGACCGCACTGCAATAATCCAACCAAGCAATGATGGGGTATGAGTGACTGAGGGCTGGGTTTCACGGTCCAGGAAAGGGTGCAATTGGTATACAACACAAAATTGCATGAAAATTCTGCTAAGCAGAATTGCCACCTGCGCTTCAAGCTGGAGTCAGAATTGCATCCAGAAGCCAAAGAGCAACCAGTACAATTCTTGGAATAAATGTATTTCATGGATACTTAGAGGAGCACTCATCACCACATGAGCTACCATATTCTAGATGAACTACACCTTCTAAATACACTTCTAGGGCAACACCATGTTCCGTAGTATAATAGTCCAACCAAAGTGACGAAGGTATAAGACAGTGAGTTAATAATCCCTTCTATTCCAGGAAATGGTTCAATTAGTGCACTACACTGAGCTGAGCAAATACTCTTAGCAATAGCTAGTACCCGCTACTTGAGCAGGAGCTGTGGGAATATAAAAGGACCCCCAAATTGTGAACTGATTCCACCTGGAAGAATGCTACCTCATACAGAGTTAATGATGGAATCACTTTAGAAGCAAGCAGACTTCAAACACAAACATGTTTTCCTCTTGTAAATAATCTTCCTCACTGTAGAATAATGGACTCTAAATTGTTTGGAAATGCCCTTATAAAACCAGATTGATGAGCAGCAGCAATTATTCTCTAAGATCAAGGCTGATGTCTTTACTCTTCGCATTGTGTTAACACACATCTCAGTACTGGAGTCTTAAAACCTAGGCTTTATAAGAGGAAGTCACATTTGCTGATAATCAATTTATCAAGACCACTTGATTAGCAGTACTCAGCTAATCTACTTAGCCTCTTCCTACTTATGGAAGCAGTAAGGGTGTATGCGTGGCTTACATATGGCTTTTGGTTTTCTTTTTGTAAAATAAATGATGACATGGTGAACCTTTGAAAGGTTAGTGCTGGCCCACCTGAAAACCATCACGGATCCGCTGTTAGACTCCTTGCAATTTGCCTACTGAGCAAATAGATCATCAGATGATGCTGTTAATATGACTCTGAACTACATCCTACAACACCTTGAAGCTCCAAAGACTTGTGCAAGGGTCCTCTTTGTAGACTTTAGTTCAGCATTCAATATCATCATTCCATATATTTTTGTAGCTAAACTAAATCAGCTAGCTGTACCTGACCACACTTGTGACCATAAGCTTCCTAACAGATAGATGAGGAACAATTTTATTCAACAAGACAGACATGGCATTGAAAATGACCCCACAAATGACAGGTTACAAGAAGGACATGGAAAGAAATCACACTGGACATACAAATCATAAAAGAACTTTCTGTTGACATTAGGCCTGAAAAAATGATGCTTTATGGCTTGTCTATAAATAGGATATGGGATATGAGATAAAAAGATAATTGGTTGTAAATTGACTAAAAGGGGGCAAAGAGTTATAGCGATGTTTCTACTTGATGTGATAAAGGCTGGAAGTAACTTCTTTCTTTCTCTTTTCTTCTATTGTAATTGAAATCCTTAATAAAAATTACACACATACATGCATGTGCATGCACACGTGCAAAAAAGATCAAATAGCCTGTTCCTGATTATAGTGTCAGAAAAAAATGGGTAGAATCCAGCTGCAGGTACATTTCAAACTAATTTCAATTAGCATTTCCTTTAAGATATGGCATTGAAACTGCTTTGGCTGTCCAGGTGGATGACCTATGTCAGAGACTACATTGGAGAAGGCGAATGGGATACTACTCATTTTTCTGGATGTCAATACTAAACCACATGCCACTTATTGTTACTATAAGGTGTTTTGTGATTTATGTCCCATAGTATCTCTCTCCTCCCGGTTTTGTGTGTGTGTTTCACTATGGGAAGATGTTCTGCATTTGGTCTGAATGATCATAGGCTAGAGTGAGAGAGTCTTGATTTACATTTTTAGGACAAACAAAAATGGCAAAGTCATTATAAATATAAATGGCAAAGTCAAAGAGAGCTATTGTGTATGAGTGACTGCACTAAACCCATTTTGGAGAAGCTTAACAATGGTTATAAGAGTTTGCTATGTAGGTATCCTCAAGGCAAAAAGATAAGGGTTATTTATCTGAAGGAAGAATCTTCCCTAGAGCGTTAGCTATAGAATTACAAAATGGTTAAGTTGCAGTTTCCCAGGAAGGAAGGAATATATTCTCCCCCTCAAAAAAAAAAAAGTGTGGAGGGGAGAGGGAGAGACAAGAGACAACACAACCCCTAGCTGGATGGGATAATGAGGAAGAGATTTAGGATAGCCACTCCCTAGAATCTACCAGAGTATATCCTGTTAGAGTATGAGTAGTGTAAATTTAATCTAGCAAGATTCTGTCTGTAAGTTGTGATCAAATAAAATGGAAGTGCCTAAATGCAAACCCAATATGCTCAAGTGAAGGCTCTTAGTGGATAACAACACATTTTATGAATATGGAGAGATATAAAACCTGGCCCATCTGCTGGTATGTCGGTTTCTGCCAGAAATATGTACCAATAATGACTTATTTTTGGCCAACAACAAAGCCAAGAAGGTGGCTTCATTCTAGCAGTTTATAAAGTTTGATCTAGACAAAGAAGAAAAACAGAACTTTGGCTAGAAAGGGCCGGAAGGTTAGGATGAGATGTTTGGAGAAAGAGTGATCATGAGTGCTATATCCAACTTCGAGGGCCAAATATGCTAAATCAAATGGATAAATTCTTAAAAGACTTGAATGATGAAACTCCAAAGACTGTTCTGTCTGGTCATTGTAGCTGAAAACAAACTTGAGATTAATGGGCATTGCACTTAATTATGTAAAGTAAGGACAAATCTAAAAAATCTATCTTCAAATCTATTATCTCTAGAAGATTCCAAAGGCTCTGAGTAGGTAAATAACCTCTTTATGTGTGAATCACACACAATAGAAACACTGTGAATATAAGTAAGAAACGGTAACCAGGTTAGAATAAATTTCTCCTTAGTTTAAGGAATTTTCAACCTTTTACTTTTTGTTGATATTTAGGGTTTCTGCTTTTTTGTTTTTTTTGGCTTCAGCAATCTTCTAGAATATGGAAAATTAATTTCCCCATCTTTGGAAAATCAGTTAAGACACCACAATTGTAGTTGGTTATCTCCACAATATTTGTTCCTTACTTTAAAAGGTATTGCATTTAGTTTTAACTAGACACATGAATTTAGAAAAAATTGTTTTGTTTTATATTTTAAAATGATGTTCAGATAATAGAAAACCCTCTTACCTTAATTATTTCCACCAACTGATCTACACCACTATCCCCTGGGAAAATTGGCTGTCCTAATAATAATTCTGCCAACACACAACCGGCCGACCAAACATCTAGAGAGAGAGGGAGAAAACAGGGGACCATTACAAGAACTGCATATCCAATTATGGCTATATCTACATCACAAATATAAGTAAATTTATACATAAGGAAGAAGACAGTGTGTGTGTGTATGTGTATGTGTGTGTATGTATGTATGTGTGTGTGTGTGTATATGTATGTAAGTATGTAAGTGTGTGTGTGTGTGTGTGTGTGTGTGTGTGGCATTCAGCTTTGTTTGGGTATTTTCCCACGTCATTGTAGTTGTGCTTTTAAAGTTGTAGCAACGTTTCAGCAGAATCTCATCTACCATCATCAGCCTGATGATGGCAGATGAGATTCTGCTGAAACGTTGCTACAACTTTAAAAGCACAACTACAATGACGTGGGAAAATACCCGAACAAACCTGAATGCCATACATGTAAGTACCCGCGAAAACTTAAGATATATATATATAGATATGTGTGTGTGTGTGTGTGTATGTATATGTATATGTACATGCATATGTATGGTATTCAGCTTTGTTTGGGTGTTTTCCCACGGCATTATAGTTGTGCTTTTAAAGTTGTAGCAACGTTTCGGCAGAATCTCATCTGCCATCATCAGGCTT